CAAAAATTATTTGATTTTACTAGGTTATACCTGGAAAACAATTTGGCTCAGGATGGATCATACATTGAGATTAGACTCTGGAATTGACACTTTTGAGTTAGTATTAGAACAAATCAAGACTTATGGGGCTATGGGGAGGGAATAAATGTAATGTTATTGTGTGTGCAAGGCATAAGAATTTTGGAAGGGCAAGGTCAGAAGGCTATGGTTTGAACATTGTGTCTCTCCAAAATTCAACTTGAACCTTAATCCTCATTACAACATTATTAAGAGGTGGGACGTTTAGAAGATGATTAGGTTATGAAGGCTTCACTCCCATTAATGGAATTAGTGCCCTTAGAAAGAAGCTTGAGAGAGCTAGCCAGTTCCTTTTTATACTTCTTGGCTATGTGGGGACCCAGCCTTTATCCCTTCTGTGGGATACAGCAAAAAGGCACATCTTGGAATCAGAGAGGGAGCCATAGCCAGACACCAATCTACTGCTGCCTTCATCCTGGACTTCCCAGTCTCCAGAACTATGAGAAACAAATTTCTGTTGTTTATAAATTATCCAGTCTAAGGTATTTTGTTTTAGCAGTCAGAATAGAATAAAACACAAGTAAAGGATATACACAAATGAATGGGTCATTTCATGGCCAATTCAGGAGGAACTGTTATTTTTATTTTTTGCAGTGTTTCAGGAACTTGGCTAAGCAATAATTTCTAACAGTGACACATAGATCTCCAGTTTAATTGTTATTCAGCCAACCATTTTTCCTTTCTTTGTGAGATGAGTAACTAAAGTTTAGATTTTTTTAACATCTTTATCATCATAATACATTTGTGGGTATATGCAAAAAGTGACTAAAGATGGGTAATTTTAAATGCCTAAAATGGAAAATTCTTGTGCAAGGCAAACAATATGTGACTTTGTTAACTGGAGGAGTATGGTATTTTTTGTTACTTTTATTACTCTGTAGATATTTAATTTAGAAGCATAAATCATTTTTCAAACCCAATCATTCCACTGACCAAAGCAGAGTCAGAATTATGCTCACACAGTTAGTTGATGGAGAGCTTGTAGAATCATCTGCTTGATATTGTTTGAGTTATCATAAGGAGCGCTTCATTTTCACAGTAGTGAAGAAACAGATTTTTTTTGTTGTTTCCTGTAGAGTTTGATGGGATTTTGATGAATATTTCTTAGTCTTTTGAGGATTTTGTTAATCTCTCTGACATGATTCCACAAGAGACATATGAAAAAGGTTATAAGCTCTGAATCAAGGAGGATTTTGTTTAAATAAAATATGGTAAAAATTTGGTTATATAAAATCAAATCTTAAATTTAGAAAGTAAAGATATCTGGGGAATTTGTTATGTATTTTCAAAATCACACATTATTTTTAATAAGAGACTACATTCCAAAGCTTCACTATAAAAATATGTAAGGTATTTGGAATATGTAAATCTATAGGTTGACTGTTTTGTTCTATTTTACAATTTATACGCATTTTTCATTGAGTTCAGGTAGATGAAACCAAAGGTTTCTAAAAAGCACCTTTCTCACAAGCAATTCATTATACCTAATTATATAGATGAACCTAAAAAATTATTTATTTATTTTAAAGAATTATATTTTATTTAAGTTCAACAAATGCTTGTTATTTTTTACTTAAGTTTTTAGCAATAACATGAGAACAAACCATCTGTACTTTTATAAAGCTTAGAGTCAGAACAAAACAAGCAACATCTCAAGTATACAAAAAACTTGACATTGACTTTTCACAAGTCACATTAGCATGTGAAGTTGGTATATAGCTAGAGATGCACATATTTATTTTAATGTTATAAAGAAAATCATTTTATCATTATAAAAAGATCAAAGAACAATTTATATTTTATCTTTTCTAACTAATTTATACTCTCAAGTAATTTGTTCAATATACATCATCAGGAAGAAAACTGCTTCGATGAAACAAACTCTGGTGTAAGATATCTTGAAACAAAATAGATCCAAGAGAGAGAATTTATATAAGGAGATATAATGGAAACAAGTACACACACCCATTTCTGTTTTAAAAACAATTATAGATTTTAAAATGCCCAGAGAATTTTAGTGTTTACTAGATATTCACACTAAGGTAGTTAAAGTACACCAAGAAAATCATCTGCTCTTATAAACAAGGTATTAGAAAGGTCAAAAATAATAATAATAAAACGAAAGAAAAGATGTAGTAAAAAAAGTAAGAAAACTTGGTGTGATAAAGAGGAAAAAATTAAAACAAGAAATTAAAAGAATGAGTAATTGCAAGTTCAAGACAGCAAATAAAATGTATATTTTTTAAAAAATAAAATTTATTGTAACATTAGAAAAGTAAAGAACTAGAAATGGTGATAAAACTAAAATACACAAATCACAGTGGGTGTTAGATTAGTAGGTGGACCTTGCTGAATAGAGCAATTTATAAAGAAATACTTTGAAAGGGAACCACTGCAATAGGTCACTCTCCCAGCATGACTGGGGCAGCACAGCTAGCAGCAGGGATGGCAGGATTTACAAGTGAGCAAATCAGCAACAGGGTTAAGTGAAGAGTAACATTATAGCCTGACCAGAGTCCTCATTCTGAGCAACTAACTGTGGCATTTGTCTTCAGGATAACAACAAAGAAATAGTTTTCTAAAAGAAGTGCAGGATTGTCACTGGGGATGCAGAGTGGGCACTGGTATCTGAGAGAAAGAAGACTTTCTTATAGTGATCAAGACGGAACTAGAAATTCAACACGATTCTATTCAAACTCATTGTTTTAAAGACTTTAGATATTAAATATTTTTAACCAAGCAGCTCTATCCATAGCAACATATTCCATAAAAATATGTGGCCATGCTTTCAATAATATACAGTTACATTAATAGATATAAATTAATTTATTATATTTGCTAATAACTGAAAACACAGTCAATCTAAATATTCATCCATAAGATAGCTAACATAATTGTGGAATATCATGTAGCACTTAGAAATAATGAAACATCAAACTCCACTGAAATGTAATAATGCACATCAGATCCTTTGCAATGTAAAAGGTAACTTGTAGAATAATATGAAGTTTGTATTGTTATGTAAAAAATCTATCTATCCAGCATCTACATGTGTGTATAGTAGAGATACATTATTAATTGATTATAGATAGATAGGCAGATAGACAGGAATACTTGAGTGTATAGGTGTATATTAGAATGTTTGAAAGGATATATCCAATCATAACGGTAATTCCTGACGAATCGTTGTGCTTAAAGCAGGGCCTTTAATTTGCTTTTTAAATAATATTCATTGTAGTATGGACATTTTCCAATCACATATATTAATTTAAAAATGTTAAGATAGAGTAGAGGATAATTGAATGTCCCAAATTGAAAGACTAGAAGGCAAGTAGTACATATTTAAGTATAGTAGAAAAACATGAAATGAGAAAATAGGGCTCACATCAATGTTATTGTAATACATGTACATAAAGCTACCTGGTAGTCATATTGTTATTAATTAATATCTAAAACAATATTGACAATAAGTTACATATACTGAGGATATACCACGTGGTGAGAACACATGCTTCATAGGCATCATACTATTTAACTTACAACTATCCTCTGAGGAGGGTACCATTCCTCATTTTATGGATAAGATAATAGAGGCTCCCAGAGGACAAGTTATAAAGCCTGTAATTTGCAGAGGCAATAGCCTCCTCTCCGCCATTTATGAAATATAGGAAAATTCTGAATTTACTTACATTGGGTGAACCTATATGGATTGTGGAATGACTAAACTTTTCAAAATACAGTTTCTTAATTCTGTAGACTAAGAGCTACTTCTTTGAAGTCCAGAGAATATTAAAGGACATGAAAAGAATCCATCCTGACTGAGCTTTTTAGTTAATATTGAGACTACTTCGGCTTGGTTTTATCTGTACCAGGACTTCCTGATTGCAACTGGCTCCCCAAGCCAATAATCTCATTATCCTCTAGATTATGGGGTGTGGAGCTTGACCAAGTCATTGTTCTGAACTAAATTCCTGTGGTGAAGAACCTGCCTTCTGTAGGAAGGAGGTTCCACAAACCACTGCTCAGCATGTGGAAAGTGACCCCTGACAGCAGGCAGCAAAGCAGTAGAAGAAAGAGACGAATATAATTGTAAGAACCTGTGCTAATTATGTCTATTTTACTAACATTTATTTAGTATAAGACACAGTGGTATAAATTTTATTCTGAGCTTTTAAAAGTGTAAAATTTCACTATTTGGTTTCTAGTTTCTGAGAATGACCTATAAGACTTATTTTAAATCATACTGTCCTTTTAAAGAAGTGTGCATATAGCTTATAGAAATTCTCTCTACTTATGTGATCTAATATTTACTCTCGTGCTGATAGAGAGAAAAGAGGTCAGTGGAAAAAGATGACATTAATTATTTAACTAGGCCAAATTAATGATGATTTATTTCAGTGCATATTTATACCATCAAAAGTATATGATCTAGTTTGAGAAAACAATTTTAGTTTACTACATCTTACCTATTATCAGTAAAGTACATTATGAGAATGATATTCATTAGAGTTTGTAAGTATGATTTTTATTCTTTGTGAACTAGCTTTCTTTTTACTCTGTAGCGGATATTTTCTACTTAACAAGTACAAGGAAAGAGAGTAGTTCTACAAACACATGGCTTAGTAGTTTAAACATTCAGCTAGTGCGTATGTGAGCGTGTGTGCGATAATTATCATTGTTATTAGTACTATTAAGAGTATTACTTCGCAGTGTTTAAAAGGAAAGGAAATCTGCTTGAAATTGATTGTTAACTATTACAAAAACAGCATCTGCATTGCTTTCTCTTATGTAGTTAATATTAAATTATTTATACACTAATCTGGCTGCTGTATCCAAATAACATTATTTCTAGATAGGTCAGGCTGCTTATTTAATTAGTTAGTTAAGTGAGTTAATAGTAATGATATTATCTTTGGACTTACCCTGGCATTGGTCCGTTCCCAGCAAGACTATAAACCTGACGAGGATTTAGTAAATACTGGAATTTTCTGTAAATTCTACAAAAGTGAAAACACAGAAAGAGAAAAGGAAATGTAGTGATTCTTAATAATTTTAAAATATGCAATGTCCCTTAATGCCATAAATATATGTGTATGTATGTGAGTGTAATTAAAATTATTTGACAAAAGTCTCACTAATATTAAAAATAGAATAGCTCATAGAAGCCAATGGTTCTTGAAAAGGGGCTTAGTAGCCATTAGAAAGACAATACAATGTATTCACTAGAAATAATGCCTGTATTCTAAATATGCATATACATTTAGATTATTCTCCCACCCCCTTTTGAAATTATTTAGCTAACTCATATTTCAAATTTTTAAAAAAGATTCCATATAAATTTAATTAAATATTTTCTCCGAACAGATCCTTGTGAATAGATCATTCTCTCCACAGAAGTCAATATTAGGTTACTGGGCCAACCTAACAGAGTTGAAAAATCTCTATCTCCCATAAAAAAATGGAAATGTACACTTTATATACACATATGTAGGAAAAGAGTGCAGTCTCACCTGGCCTAATAATTTTATATAAACAACCATATTAATCAGTCAGTTCATGAAATTGCTAAACTGTTTCAACAGGCACACGTGAAATGATTTTTATTCTGAAAGAAAATAATTTTTGTAAACAAATGCAATAGAAATGTTTCTATGTATACACATAGCCCAAATGTGTGGAATTCTTTGAAAATGTGATATATTAGATCTTTAAATTGGTATTATATACATGCAAATATTAGTGTGTATTTTATAAATATTCTTATAATAGTGACTGATAGAAACTACAAATTCACTTTACAAAATCCACTTATATCATCTAGAATCATTCTCAATACCTTCTTTCCCTGGCATCTGAACCCCACCACTGAACAATTCTGTGCTTCCTCAGAAATATCTATCAAATCTGGCTATTCTGTTTCACTGCTTTAATTCAAGCCTTCATGTTCTCTTAGCAGCTCTATAAAATTCTTGGCAATTAAGTCCTCTCCTATATTGCTGTTTAAGTACAGTCATATTTTTCCATGATGAAAAGTTTCTGCTAGTGTCAAGTTATTCACAATATAAATTCAGACATCTTCACAATATGACCACAGTTTATCTCATTTTCTTTCTCTTTCCCCTTAAACTTTAACTTTGGTAAATTCTTCCTGGTTGACACCGTGCCTTTCACAAATCCTTAGACCTGGCAAGCATCTACTTATGTAAGAACCAGTACTAAAGCTAGTTATCAGAAGACATCTCAGTTTTCAGAGATGGTTATCTCCCCCTCTGAACTTCCATAGTACCTTTATTTTAAACATGTCCAGTTTAGCATTTCTCGTGTGGGATTGCAATAGATCACATGCATGCCTATCTCCCTGCATGATTGTAACTTACACCTTTTATCCCTGGTACCGAGTAGAGCTTGGATTCAACCAGGGGGCGCTGTCTGAATAACTATGTGAACACTTTCACACCTGTGGACTGGCATGGGAAACCGTGTCTGAATATATAATTCTGTGACCTTTTACCACTTACCTAACATATCAAAGTCAACAAAGTCAACACATTTTGAAAGAAAAACGCTGAATGGAATCCCATTGTGAAAGGTGCCCCCTATGCATGCAGGGAAATTCATCTGTGCACTTGCAATAGATCACCTTTAAAACGTGTTTACATTTCATTTGACCTTGAAGGGTCCCTTTAATATCTAAAGGACAAAACGCATGTGGGCATGCATATGGGAGAGTTCACATATTTCCCCTTCTCCCCATTAAGTTTAATATTCTTATGCCTTTAGTGTCTCTAGTTGTTGTTGTTGTTGTTTTTAGAAAATAGCATTAATCACATAGAATGACCTTAGTATACCTTCCCTTATATCACCTAGAATCATTCTCAATACTGTAGTAGACGAAGTAAACAAAGGTCATTCTATGTGATTAATGCTATCTTAAATTGAGGAGAATTTCTTTTCTTTTGAAAATATTTTTAAAAATTTTTTCTAAGACTTCATTTGTATCTAATTTCCAACATGAATTTAAGTCTTACCTAATTCTTTATGAAGAGCTTACTTTCTTTTTTTTAATATATATATATATATATATATATATACACACATACACAGCTGACAGACTGCAAGTAGTAAAAGAGAAAATAATTTTAACATTATTATTTTATATCTTTCTGAGTGAAGCAATTATTCTCTTTCATAAAGTACTAAGAATATTTGTAACCAGTTAGCCATCATTTATTTAAAATAATTTCAATCTAGGTTCAGCAAAGTGAAAACTTAACTATATGTTGATAAGAGGGAAAAGAAGTATACTTTTTAAAAGCTGAAATAATATTTTGATGATTGATCAATAAAGAACCTTTTTAATTTCAATGAAATAAAGCTGGAACGTTACATGTTAGTAAAGGAAATTGTTTTTCAAAATTCCATTATTCATGGAAACATTTCAACTTTGTTATTTGGTAAAGCAAGAAGGAAATCTGTTTTACTTTCATAGTGTGAGTACTTTTATCTGTTTGCTTATTTTGGGGTTGAGATTAGGAAAGACATCTAGAAAACATTGTTAGATATAAATTGCAATTTTGTTTATGACTGTTCTCAGTAGGACATAAGGTTTACTCTTCAATGTAGTGATTTTCATTTATTTATTAAATATTATGATTTAATTATTAATTCAGCATAAAAATAAAATTTTATCAGCCAGAATATTAAGATATCTGATAACACAGCTCATTTTTATTCTAATTAAATATACTATGTTTCTTGAGGAAATATGGCATTATGTTCTCCAAAATGCACATACAGAAAGTCATTATAATATATTTTGCCTAGAAGCTAGATATAAATTCTGTTCCTCGGTACTGGGCTATGATTTACCAGAATTCATCTTGTTGATCATTTAGTGAACCGATTTTCATTCAACAGTATTTATGATGCCATGTTGTTTGCAAAGCTCTTTGTAAAGGGCTAGGGAGATAGGTGGGATAGCTCAAATTCAAATATCTGAGCTGGATAATAAAAATATTTATAAAATGCCATTATATTAAAATTTCAACTCTAAAAACAGACAGAGACTATATCAGCATACACATATATATCCTAACGTCATTTATTCTCATTAAAATTAGTAAGCAGTGAAGAATAATGTTTTTAAATGTTTTTACATCATAGCTTATCTTTTTTACATATAGAAAATAAAATGATTTTAAAAAATCATACCTTTCTCCTTGTTTTCCACCACTTTTGGGGTTCACAAAAACTAAAAGTGGATGAGTACCAGGAACAGGAGTGATCTAGAAAGAAATTTGGATATATGAAAAAGTTACTAGGTGCAGAAAATTCCTTGTTTTTTCTAAGTTCTAAAATACCAATAAGCAAATTCAAGCAAATTCAATACAATGACAGTTGTTTTTTTTTTCTGGGGTGTGTGTGTGTGTGTGTGTGTGTGTGTGTGTGTACGTGCGTGTGCAAATGCTAAAAGGAACACCCTTCAACAAAGAAAGGTAGGACAGAGGGCAAGGCAATTAGGAAGAAGAAATGACATTTGTAATTGCTATAAGATGAAAACAAAAGTTACCATTTGTGGGAAAATGACTGAACTAACCAAAATACAGCAGAATTTGAGGGGGGAAAAAGATTAGAAGCAAAAAAAGAAATCAAGTTATAGAGTCTTCCTTTTCCGGAGGACCCTGATTGAGAGCTTTAAGCATGTGTGGAATCCATCTTTCCAACCTCTTATGAACTAGAAAGAAACTCACTAAGATTATTTAAAGCCTTTTTTTTTGGTCTAAGAGTTCTTTTCTACACAATCTTCTCAATGCTTTCTTTCCCTGGTTGGTGGGTAGAGTGCCAGTTAATCAAAACGATTTGCTAAATAGGAGTCCATTAAATATTTTTAATTTATTTAATTTTAAAGATGTGGGGAACAATTCAGGATTAGGTATACAAAAGATCATCTTTTTTTCAGGCAACAGAAATTGACTACACCATGTGCAATGTACTACTTACATCACTACTTACTCCTCAGTTAAACAAGAAAGACAAAATCTTTGTCCTAATAGGGCTTATTTTCTAGTGACAAAATATGCAATAAACAAATATTTATTTAGTTGTGAAATGTGCCACAAAGGAAGGTAAAGCAAGTAAGTTGATAGCATTTTACTGGTGGGGTGGAGTTGTCTTAGAAAACAGGGTAGGAAAGGAGAACTCTTTCATTTTACAAGACTTTTTTCAAAATAAAAGTATTCCTAGTCAATATGCCCTTATATAGTTTCCATCTACGTACAGTTGACCAAAAAAAAAAAAAAAGAGAGAGATTTTCAACAATCGAGATAACCACTTCCTTCAGACCCCCCCCAAAAAAACTTTGATAATGAAAATATGCAGGTAAGGATGCCCTCTAAATATTAAGTTTACCAGTTTTTCACTTTTTGAAAGTAGATTAAAATTATCCTTACTACAGTGCTAAATATTTAATGAAACAATTAGAAACACCCATTTCAACATATTGTGCCCTTTCTTCCTGTCTGTTTAAACAGTAAAAGTTAAAATATTCTACCAACATATTTTCCTTCAATTCTTAAGTGAAATGACATTTTTTGTAATGAGTATAGACATTGGAGAAATGTTAAAATCTTCATATTAGTTAAATGAGAAGGTTGAGTACAGTATTCTTAATTTCTAGTTCTCATTACAATCTATCACTGTGTCTATGTCTGTTTTACTTTCCATTGTTAAGAGGACCAAGGTCCTTTGTTCCTAATTTGTCTGTAATTCAGCTGGGAGAAGGACAGCTGGAGTAACTTCTACAATAACTTCTCAGGTCTCCCTTGAAACAAATGTATTCAATTAATGTATATAAAAAGCCTATTATCTTAAAGCCATTGTGCTGCTGGCTTGCAATGGGTGCCCCTCATCCCATTAAAAATAAGATTAGGAAATACCAAAAAACACCCATTTCAAAACACTAATGTTCAGTTTCCTTTTCTTATTTTATTACTAAATTGAAACTCCTAAAGTTTTCATAACAAAAAAGTAATAATAACACATGTAGATTTTAGTTGACTTTTTTAGTCAATTTGAATTGTTTCTCCTTGTTTTTAGAGACAAGAATCTTAAGGTAAATAAAGATATTTGAGCAAAGCATTAAATTTGAACCCAAATACTCATTAGGGTGATTTTTCCTTTCCTCCTCAAATTCAACATTCAGTTTACAAACAAATGAGATTATATAAAAATTCATACTGGGCCCAATATTTGAAATTCTTTTAAAATTATGTTTTAGAATGTCTTTCAGAGATACTTAAATATTGGAATATTTTTAGGCATTTTATAAGTGATCAAATAAAGGCCAGTAACAATTGTGTTTTAAGTTACATATTATTATGAACAAATAAATATCCCACCAAAGTATATTATAGTATGTAAGGCATCTCAAAAAAGAAAAAATACAAAACCTAGATGTAATTTTTGGGGATAGATGTATAAACAGATCAAACGAATTCAAATAACAGAAGAGAATTTAAAGATTTAGGGACAATGATGATATTCCACAAGTGATAAAAGTCATATACCAAATATGGAAATAGAGAAATAATAAATCAATTAGCACATCATTTTATTACAGAAAAGGTTAATAAAATATGACAATATACAAATAAAACATGGTATTAATTTATGTTATCAGGTCCTGTGGATTAGCACCCCTTTGGTGATGACTTTAATAGGTTTCTGACCTTATATAACCTACCTAATATCTAATGTAATGCACATTTAAGGGGTGATAATGAGATTAAATATTAACACTACAAGGACTCTGGTGTTAAAGGAACATGTAATGGTGTTAGAAATGTGAAAGTTAAGCCGGGATTGGTGGTTCAGCCTGTAATCCCGTGCCTTTGGGAAGCTGAGGTGAGTGGATTGCCTGAGCCCGCGGGTTCAAGACCCGCCTGGACAGCGAGACCTCATCTCTACAATAAATAAAAAAATCAGCGGTAGCTCGCGCCTGTAGTTCCAGCTACTTGGAAGGCTGAGGCAGAAGGATTGCCGGAGCCCAGCTGGTCGAGGCTGCGGTGGCCGGGAGCGGCCACTGCACTCCAGTCTGGGCGACAGAGTGAGACTCCAACTCAAAAAAAAAAAAAAAAAGAAATGTGAAAGTTCTAGGAAAATCTGGCATGTTTTTTTTTGAGTGGTTAATATTTATTGCACTATCTTTCCATTGACAGAAATAAAAATTCCCAGTGATGATACAAGTGAAACTCATCATTATTTTTCTACCTAAAATGCTCCAGATAGTAAAGTATTGGGTAATGCAGCAGATGATTATTCATAGTTCTTTCAAGTTTATAACAAACGAGTCTAAATGTTTTGAATACCTTCTATTTATTGCAAAAATGATATGTTATTGCTAGTGAACACTACAGTTAATCAACATGTTTTTTTTGTGCTCACTCAAAAAGCTTTAAAATTGTGCTAACCTTTGCTACTGTAAAAGGCCAATTTGGTCCAGTAAGTTTGGGTGCCAGGATACCAAAGACAGAATTCTTAGACTTGAGAGCCAAACACCTAGAGTACTGCATAGTCATTTTTCAGTCTGACAAGTTACAAACAAGTATCGTATCCAGTTATCATCCTAAAATAAGTCATACCATCTTAATGGCAGAATCTTCAATTGGCACTTAATTCCCATATTCCCCCTCCTTGGGAGTAAAGAGCCCTGGGTATAGGTAATTTAAAAGAGTTTCCCTTCTTGTCACATCTGTATCTTGGAAGCCGCTGTTGCTGGCAAAATTTATGTAACTCTCTCTGTATATATTTATATATTTTTTATTTTAAAGAGCTTTAACTAGTTGTAACTTTTGGTGTCTTGTCATATAAAAGAAGAAATAAATATACAAAAAAGTGGGTCTAAATTTTTTTCTAGTAAAATATAACTGGGAGTTGCTATGGAATGAATTGTGCCTCCTCCACCCCCAAGTGCATATGTTGACCCTTGAAACCCCGATGTGATAGTAGTAGTGATGATGAAGCTTTTGGTAGGTAATCTGGGTTGGATGAGGTCATAAGGGCGAGGAACTCATGATAGGTTTAGTGATCTATGAGGAAGAGATAATCTCTCTCTTTCTCTCTCTCTGTAGGATCACGTATGGAAGAGGTTGTGTGAGTACACAGAGAGATGGTGGTTGCCTACAAGCCGAAAGAAGAGGACTCAGAATAGAATCTACCTTGCTGGTACCTTGATCCAGGGCATTCCAGTCTCCAGAACTGTGAGAAATAAATGTCTCATGTTTACGCCACCCAGTCCACAGTTAATTTTTTATAGCAGCCTGAGAAGACTAATAAAGTATTGTATAGTAAGTCAAGGTATGCTCTTTAAAAGGAAGAGTGAGAGCTCCTAGCCTTCCTCTTCCCAATGTCAGCATGGAATTTGAATTTATGAGAACCAGTAGCCATTTTTGTTCATGAGCTGACCTTGAAGATGACACAGATTAATGACATAATACAGAAAGACAGGAGTACCAGTCCTGATGAAAATGTGGAGTTGTCTTATCAGCCCTGGGCATTCTACTTCTGGATATCATTTACATAAACAAATTGAAAGCTATCTTTTCTAAGTTTTGTTTGTCTTTATTTTTGTTGTTTCCCTGTTACATGCTAACTGTAATTGCTGTGAAAGACAAGATCAATAGGGTCATAGAATTGAATACAGATTGAATCAAAGAGAGATACTTTATTCTTCACCAATCTTGCTAATATGTCTAGTCTGTGAGAAAAGAAAAATAGAAACTTAATATTGTAATTCTTGAATAAATCTCTTTATTTTATTTTACAGTATTCTAGTCTCATTATTGAATACTCATTTTGTCAACCTTTTGTAACATAGTCTGAGATAAAGGAAACGTGAAAATTATTAGCTATAGTATTTTAATTTGTAATTTAATCTGATTATTTGATTCAAGACCTCCAGAGAGGTCAATAAAGTAAAAACCATCTTCCCCTCCTTCACAAAATTAAGTCTAGGAAGATAATTTGTATTGCAATGCAAATTTTGTCTAATGACAAGAGAAATATAAATAGTTTTTAAAACTCAGTATATTTGATTTTGATGAATAAAGTTTTACGAAAATATCTTACATTAATATTTTTAGAATTTTACAGTGATTTCTCTGGAACAATTTCAAATTTACAGAAAAGTTGTGACAATTGGATAATTAACTTTTTCTCCCTGAACTATTTGAGAGTAAGTTGCCAAAATTATACTCTGTCATTCCCATTTACCTAAGTATTGCCTACA